TTCATGTACTAGCTGTCTAAAAACAGCTTTAGCAGTTATCTGTAGCTGTCAATAAAGATCTTACATTAAAAAAAAAAAATTAATATTAACATATTATAAAGATTGAACCCACATTTTTAAAGTTTTATCAAAAATAATGTGTGCATATATGTTAGTCATAGTGTATTAAATCCACAATTCTCATGTATCAAAAGCTAATCATTTTGTTTCAGCAAAAAAAATGAGCTTATTGCAATCCGAACTTTTCGTTTACTTTTAATATTGAGAATATGTCGTCAGCTTGGACTAACTCACCTAATTCTGATCTGAAAATATTCTTTGCTATCCGTTCTATTTCTGCCTGTTTTTCTTCTGCTTTGCCTCGATGGAAATATCGGTATACGTGTTATCTATTTCTTGAGGCATCGAATCGGCTAATGTCCGAGTCTTCTTCAATTTAACGTTCTTGTTATACCATTTAGGCAAATTTAGTTCGCCTACCGTTAGCATATTGATAAGGATTAGATAATGTCGCTCCCATTGTGGTACGCTAGATTTTAAAAAACATATTCTGAACTGCTATGTGCAGGTGATAAAAACAAAGAAGCGTGATTGGAGGATTAGTAATTATACAAGCCAATGATTTCAGCTACTTCCGCTTAAGCATCCGATTTAGAGGTGAAAGCCTCCTCGCTCCGTGAGTCATTTATTACACCATAATGTTCAACTTATGAAGCGTGTCCTACATGCCAGTTGTCTCAAATGCCGGCGACGGGAATCATTCTTACCTCCATGCACTCTGGAAGCGTGATCGGCTCCTATTTTTCGTAATACCATAAGGTTTGCTAAGAAGTTATTAATAGGATAAACATTTACGTTATCGTCTTCTCCTTTTAACAAGAATGGAAAACTTTTTGGTATAACTTTTTGGATCCAGGTAAGTAATTCTCGGGCCCATACCGGATTTTTTTTCCATAAAAGAAATGGTCGAGGTTCATTATTTTTATTTTTAGCATATCCGGTGCAGTACCAAGAATATACCAGTTTGTGCTATTTTGTTTGTAATAGTTAATACAAAGGCCTTTACACATCTGCTGGTCGCATACATAACATTATCATTATATCTATTAAATTTTGCATCGAGGGGGGATTGGATATATCGCATTTTTGTAACCGCTCGAAGGCAAAGAAGTCAGGATAATCAAATTCTTTGTCTTCTCGAAGTTCTTGCAACTCTCTTTGTTTTTTATTCGATGCATAGGTGAAATCGGGTACGTATGCAGCTTCTATTGTCAAATAATCAACACCCAGTTTACGCAGTTCTTTTCGAAGTAATTTAAGACGTGAGGATTTAGCTATTTCCGTGGCGCCGCTTTCTGCTAAATTATATGCCAATTAGTATATTTCCTCTGGGTCAAGATCTTTCTTAACATAATGAGCAAGCTTTTTAACGGGATCTCTTTTCATAACACGCTTCCCAGAAGCTTGCACGGGGGTTTGTTTTTATTAAATCCTAATTTCTGGATCCGATTTTGTGCATGATCCCGTGCTTTGGGGTCTTTCAATTTTTTGACTACTTCTTCGGCGTAACTGCTAAGTTTAGCTACCTCATCTGAGGGGTTAGGTTGTATTGATTTACGAAATTTGTAGCAATTTTCGACATTGTCTTATGCAGTGTGGTATACCACTTCGTACGGCGGGATGGTTGTGCGGATTATAATTATGGAAAATATTCTTTCAAATCGAAAATAATTATCGATCAGATGATCCAAACTTGGTTGAGGGTTTGCATTATAGTCTCGTGTTTGCTTTGCAAAAAGACATATTGTGTATATTTTTATCGCACAGAGTGCACGCTTTGCGCGATATCTAAAAGACCAGCGGCTTGCGCATGACCAATTTATCAAATTAGGAATCGCGTTCAACACGATGTCAATTACATTAATGAAAAAGTAAATAAAGTAAATAAGAAAAATCTTCTGCACGGCTACATATGAATAATGAACAAGATTTTGATTCTAACTGTTTTAAGCGATCGAACCGATATTTTGTAGAAATATGTATCTTTAAATGTCGCCACATAGTTTTGGAGCTTTTCTAGGACATCTTATTTTCTTGTACTTCCAATTGCTACCATCTCCGCTAACTTTGAAACATGCATCCGTTTCGCTTTTAATGGTCTGATCATAATATTTACCATTGCTGTCAACGACTATCATATGAGAGCAGAATGGAGCGTTTGGTATGTTATCACGTTTCGATACCGTACAAAATTTAGAACAATCTTTTAATCCTCTGTCAAACAACACATTGCCTTTACAATCCGTTACGTATCCATGGCATTTTGTTCCCGCTTTCAAGGAGGAGACGACCAGCGCTTTATGGAATTTTTCTATTCACATCAAATCAGGAAACAAATTGTCAAAATCGAGTATTATTAAATGTCATCTGCTTGTAATTCAAAATTTTACCTGGAGCCACTTCAGTCAACAGGTAACAAATTATAAAGACGACAAGAGTGAAGGAGATACAGTGTTTCATGGTTATAAGAATGCGTATCGGTTATTATCAAATAAATTGTTAAGATAATGTTTTTGTTTTCAAACTTGAGACATACACCTGCGTATATATACGTATTTTTCTCTGACAGTACGACCATGATGTGATAATTATAATTAATTATCACACAGAAAATTGCCATTGTTTTCACATGGCTTAGATAGAATGTTCTTCCCAAAATCGTGCCTCGTGTGTTTGGACGTCCGAGATCACAACACATGACATTTCAATTTCCGCAATGTCTTTTCCCACCTGTTTCAAACTCGAATTTCGGCCGGCATTTAAAATCTATCGATCGATATTAATTTCGCTGGGTGTACCATTGAGATACCCTAACCTTATAGCTCACATGTGGTGCACCAGCGAAATTAATATGAATCACCCGAACCTCGATCGGCATAAAAATACCAACCCCACCCCTAAATTGGTTGAAACAGGGGCACCCGTAAAACAATGTTAAGAGTCATGCGGTTTCCTTGGAGATCATCAAGTTTGGCATATGATGCCGTTCTTGTCATAATCATTGTCGACATATGTCAACGTGCGTGTAAAGCAACAACTACCCATTTAGTAATAGAAGACAGCCATCGACGCTCTCTCTCGGATACCAAATCACACCGGTAGGGATGTCATCAGGTGGCAAGAAATGCAAGTGCAGGAATGCGTCGAATCAATAAACAAAAATTCTCGTCACGGCTGCTGAGACGGCCCGTTTGCACTTTTCGATAAATACTTTGAGCCAAATGAAAATGATAAATTCTGCACGAACAGCATTGATGGCTGTTGGGGATGGGATGGATATCTTCTCCTCACCAAATCAATCGAATCCTGAAACAATTGCTTATAACATATATCTGATTATGTAACGACGACCACTTTGAAAAGAAGCCTCAGACAAAAGCGTATAGGTCGTGGCTTTTCTTTGTTTTACAAAGGACGAGCAGAGACAAAGTTTCTCAACTCAGAAAAGCGATGCCAAATACAAAATTTGTTCTGGGTAACTTGGTTAATTGCAAGATGAAATGTATTAAAGATAGATGATTATTGCAAACGCCAAATATGAAATAAAAATTTTTTTGGCATTGACACAAATTGAGACGTATTCATTGTTACAGTCATCCCTCGTTATAACCCCTATTGTAACCATTGTAACCCACCCTCGGATATATTCCGCTGGTCCGATTTTCTCTATTATATCTCAGTATAAATTTCCCTCGCTCGTATCCCAATCGATATATATCCCTATCGCCAAATTTTCACAGAGCCCAATTTCCCATATCTATAGAAATATATAATGATCATACTTCCCCTCGGTAAATTTACCTTACTATATATGTCAATTGTGTTATATGATATTTCTATATATAGTCAGTCTACCTATTTTTGGTTAGTAGATTAACGCTGACCTGATCGAAAAGTGGTATGTTTATATGTCGCCCTCAATCGCTTGATACATCAGTGGATATGACAGCGGAAGAATATGTTGAGTTGGATAATGGTTTAATAAACGCAAATGTACCTACAGAAGAGGGTGGCTGAAGTTGTGTCGCAGCAGACACAAATGCAAATAGAAGAAGACACAAATGGAGAGGGGGAAAGTGCCAATTTCTATACAAGTAGGAAGACAAGCACTTGAGACAGCTAAAAAAATTTTTAGAATAAAGGGAATTTACAACTGAAAACGATATGAGATATATGCGTGATATAATTCGTCGAGTCATCAGAAAAGTTAAAGCGGCAAACGTTATTATCAGAGTATATTAACCAATAAAATTTCTTGTACTACTAAATAAACTAAAAATGCCTATACTCAGTTATAAGTCTCCGTCCCAAAGTGAGGATATAAACGAGGGATGACTGTAATTGTAATCTCCGGGTTGCCCATCCATAAGAGCAAGATGTGAATGACTTAAATGTTGGGATCTTTAACTGGTCTAATAGTTGGCCCAATGAGATCTTTCCAGACATGGTAATGGGTGGAGATCGCACAAGTAAGACACGTTCCTCACGGATCTTCTTGACAAGCTCTGCTCACAGAGGTAGATAGTCTCGAAAGGTCGATTCCTTCATAGTTGCCAATGCCATCTCCTTCAGTTCCATGTATGTAGTTAATCAAGGCCTCTTACTCTATAAAAGAGTGATAGTGAGATATTAGGATGGGTAAAATGAAAATGATGCAAACATATACCGAAGTAATCATATCGTGTCTTGGTGTATATGGCAACTTTACCTCTATATGATGAAGCAAATTATGGTAAGCAAACGGGAATGATATTACCTCAATATAAATAAAACGAGCAATAAGAAGGTGTGGTTTGATGACAAAACAAGAGGAGATGTTAGTCAATATTGCAAACAGCACAAGTGTTGTAATGAATTCCCTGACCCCATTACTCTATGAACCTTGTTACTCCTCTATTAACCCATATTGTCTCTGTCTTTGAAATAAGTTTGTGTATAACCTAGCTCTGCTACAATTCAGCTCGTCCTCCCAATAAACGTGCTTACCTTGTTTTATATAAAAGGTAACAATGTTTATTAAATCATTTGTAGCATCAAGTATGTGAGTTGCCATTACAGCATTCTTGTACGGATGTACAGTATTAAGAATATACTACTACCAGACTAAACGATTGATATAGTGAACATTAGTTAGGGTATTTCCAACGTAAGTCTATCGGTTTTCACGTTGTATTTATTCGATTCTGTAGGTATTGGAATTATTCCGTTGGAGCTTCGACCGAATTCTTCAAGAATAGACGTAATACATTTTATTAATGGTATTAATATAAACTATTGCTATATTGAATTACCAGTAACAAGTGTCAAATCGAATATTTGGAAGCAATAATACAAAATTCGCAACAAAAGGTAATAACCATACCATATAACCGGATGGCTTATAAATCATCGATAGCTCAATACCATGTTTGGTTAAAGTTGCCTTTTAAGCATATACAAATATTTCAGAGTGACTAAGTGACCAGCAGACTGCTGATACAGTGGATAAACTGAGTCAAGTTATCTCAAAGATCATGTTAGTAAAGTTTCCTTTTGGATTCTTAGACTCACTACAAATCATATAGAATAGAGTGCGGCGCCGGTTATGTACGAGTAAAGCAAAAATCAAGCAAAAACTAATAAAATATAAATCTTACCAAAATTAATGGTCTGCTTGATTATGCGCACTAGCAAATCTTTGTTATATTAGACGTCCATGAAAACTTCAGAGATATACAGTATATCAGGCATTTTGATTTTCGCTTGAGAAAATCTTTGATCATTATCACGTACAATAAACGTAGTGAAATTAATCTCGTCACGCGCCTCAACAAAATTTGGCGCAGTGTATATGAATGTATCAAATAAATTTCTCAGCAATGCATCTTTCACCATCCACGAAAAACTGTATAGACGTCTAATTGCTGAATAAACGCGGTGTTTGCAATTGTAATCGTTTCTTAATTAAGCGCTTATTTGGTCTATTTCATTTAAGAACGTATGTTATAACGTTAGCTCACTTACATCCACGCCACTGTACGTTGGGTCTATATTAGTTCCACCTAGCCCTCCTCTCAGCTCTTTGCCTTATGACGATATTGTTCAGGTACGTTTCATCTCCCATTGATCTACTTCCACTAGTACATTAGAAACAATAGTGTCAAAATGTGACATAAAATTGTTATAATTGTACTTACAGCAACCATCCATATCCGCTTTCTCGAGGAGGGGGAAGCTTTGATTTGAATACTTGAATGAGTGCTTTTTTTATCCTTATAATAATGTAAGACTTTATGCTTAAAGCTAGATAGACAAGAGGTGAAATAAAAGATATTGGTTTTTGGGAATAGGGAGGGTGATTGGCAGAATTATCGTACGATCTTTTATATTATTCCTGTAATTTTGCTACGCCAGTGTGTAATAAGGGTATTCCAATACAAACCGAGTTAATCTCGATGTGATACCAGTTAATAGTAATGCATCCACAAGTGATTACATTCTTTATTTCCTGAATCTGCCAATTTTTCTACTATGTAGTGTCAGATAATCGTTTCTTTTAAACTTAATAGCAATGCCTTTGCCACTCGTCGCGACATTGATGCAAGCTCAGGATATTCAGGTGTTATTTCCTTTTTAGCATCAATGTTTATTAACGTATTATTAACATATACAACACTAAATTATAACAATTGTATTTATAAGTGAATTTGTCAGAAAGTCGACACGATAACTAAAAAGCAATGCACTGTATACAATTGCACAAAAATAAGGTGTAATTAATTTTTCAAATCGCGGAAAAGCCATTTATTAGGTGTACTATGCAATATTAATATACCCAGTACTTGCTATGATAATCATGGGAAAATCCACGATTGGTACGAATGTGTAAAAAGTTTTTAACGATAATATTAGTATATTTGGATATAGGGTTGGAATTTGAATTTGGATTAGTATTAACACCCTCATCCGTGAGATCAAATATCCATACACGAACATCATATTTGTGAGATTTCTGAGATACGTACATATATTCAAACTAAAATTGAATGAATTAAAGTTTGAATACTGAACCAAAAAATCGATATCCACATCTTACACAAGTCTTTCGACAAATACTGCATGTCTAGAAGATACCATAATATAAATGAAATAATTGCAATAACTGGTGGACATAATGTTTATGGCAGAGTTACTGAACATGAAATATCTTATGATGCTATTAGCATTATCGACCACTCTGAAACACCAATTCAGTGGGCTATTCGCGTTAGAATACCCCAGATGCATGACAGCTAACGCAATGACAAACGTTCAAGACCGAGAGGACAGAGAAGTTTATTCATCAATATTGTCTCCATGCTACTCACCTTCAGAATGCAAATTTTGATCATGCCTGATACTATGTTCAATAAAGCTTATTCAGAATTGATTAATAAATTACCACCACCTTAGCACATGAAGCATGGTCGCGTATTATATCT